AGAATTGTAGCTTAGACTAAAAGCAACAAATCTGTAAAACAGATTTTTTTAAAATTCATTTGTTTGTAAGTTATAGGCATTTTTATATTTATATATAAAAAGTGGATGTTTCTTGTTGTCCGGTACTGTAAAATTTATCTTTTAGTTTATAAACTGTTATAATCTTTTTTTATAAGTATTATATTAACAATAAGTTAACAATTTTTATCTTTTCTATAAACTATTTTCTGTTATAAAATTATATAATTTTTTATTTTTATTTTTTTAAATTAGCCTCTTGAGGCTAAGATTTTATTTAAGTATTGTTGAGTGAGAGGCTCATAGCTTAATACCTTATAAGAACTCTTTATACTGTATTAAAAAGTATAACTAGCCACACGTATATTTTTGGTACCTAATTTAAGTAATCCATCTACAACTTTTTATATTATAAGTTCTATACTAAATACTATATTTGTTATGCAACTACAGATATTACTTATTTAAATCCTCTGTAATACAACTCTACTTGTATTACTGTTATATCTCTGTTACATTTGTTAGTCAAGAAATCTCAGATACTTAACCTATTCTCTATAGGATTATTTTATCCTCAAGGCATTGTTGCTAGAGTTTTTCATATCTACAATCCGGCTAATCTAGACTTTTCAATAACTTATACTAAGTCCAAGGACAAGTACTTGCAAGCCAAAGCCGCTACTATTACCTACTACTACCCATATAGAGTTTACTCAAACCCTAATATATATTTAACAAACCACCAACCCTATTTCTGGTTCTCTAAATTTCCAATCCAAATAGTTTAGAAGGGTTGTGATCTACTCCTAATCCCCATGATTAGGTCTTTTTTTTCTAATTACTCAGCTGATAACCTGATTAATAGAGTGTTTTGCCAAATACTTCAGTTCCATTCAGTTCTCCTTTTTTCAGATAATAAGGGGAGTACCAGAAATCAGCTGATTTTTTAGAGAAGGAGGGGGGTAAAAAAAATTATCAGGTATATAGTTTTAGCCAATTGAAATTTTTTATTTAAAATTAGGTAGGGGGGAAGGGGAAAGCTTCTTAATAAAAAAATATCAGTTGATAAATGGCCCTCTTCTAATCTGTTACGTAGTACTATCAAAGATCTATACTACCTCTTTACTCAGTATCCTAATTCGCTAGTTTTACTTGGTAGCTTCACTGTTATATAACTTATATATTACACAGTATTTTCACAGCTTCCTAGTACAAACTAGTACTGGTGCGATCCTGTTACAGATGCTAACCTAATAGGATATAGTCTTCCAAATACATTCCGTTAATTTGAATTTCGTTGATAATAGGATTCAAACTCTTGTTTTGTTGCTTGGGGGTGTAACAATTTATCAACTACACTAAGTCACTATACCCTTATATAAACATATTTCTTAACTACTTGAACACTTAATTAAATAAGGTAATTTGTTAATCAAGAGTCTAACAATATTATATTACAATATAAAAGACATATGTATTATATATTACTTTTTTATGATAATTTTAACATTATAAATGTTGGCATGTTTAATATTACAAATTTTTTAAATATTTGCTTAACATGTTTAATGCTGTAGTGTGTTTAGTCTGTGCAAAAACATATATATTTCAAATTTCAATGTAATCTATATGTGTATGGGATCTTTGCTAGGAAAATCATCCTCTGACATTTTCTGAATAGGCAACTTTTTTACATGTAAATCATTTTTTGCCCGTATTTAATTCAATAGCTTATCGAATTAACATTTGAATTAGGGTTGGGTTTACCAAATCTTCAACCCACTCCACTAAATTAGATTTACTCCAATGTTTTGCTCCGGGTTACTCTATTGTACTCCGGGTTGCTCCAGGTTGCTCCAAATTTAAAGGCATAATTTTAAACCCACTCAACTTGGGTTGGGTTCTACTCCGGAGTGCTCCAGAGTAAGCTACTCCATTAACAACCCTAGTTTGAATCAATAAAGTCAAAAATGATTTACATGCAAATAAGTACCGGTATATTGGTTTGAATTTATCCGATCGGAAAATGTCGAAGGGTGATTTTCCTAGCAAAGATCCCATATAACGAAATCGGCAAATTTTTATCAGATGTTTCAAGAATTATGAAAACAGCTGTAAATGCGGGCCGGGCCGTAATGCAGGCCTCTAGCTTACTGTAATATTAATCACATGACAATATTTGTCTTGAACCAATAATATCATTCTCATGTGATTTATTTTTATATGTAATTTGGCACAAAAAATTGTGAAAATTTCAGCCAGAAGAGAGGAAAAGGCAAACAAAATTTTGATTTCTTTTGAAAAATTGCTTTCGAAAAATTTCCGTGTCCCTGCCTATAGGCGCAATAACACGTGAGTGTCAATTAACTTTTTCCTACTTTAAATATTATTAATTCAAAGGGTAACGTAATGACCAGTACTATATAAATCTTACTTTAATGCTAAACCACAATTTTAATTAAATATTAAAATTATATAACAATAATCAACCACAATACAATACTAATGCCTGCCTACCTTAGTAAACCATGTAATTGAGCTAAATGCCATAAACATGTTTCAAACAAATGGTATTTAAAAAAAAAAATTGTTCACAAATTAATAAATTAGAAACCTCTAGAAATTTATCGATTGAGGGATTTCTATTTCAAATTTAAATACAACTAAATAATAAAGGCATGACTGTTCGCAAATAATCGCTACCGGACACATCCTTTATTTACTTTGTATTACAAATATATTACTGTAGTAAAAATTTTTTGTCATTTATGAAATTAAAATTATTATATATATAACATGTATATTATATATATTATACAAAATAGTGCACTGCAATGGCAAAAAGTCCTGTGCTAAGCGCCACCGGAATTTTCTTTATTTGTTGGAACCTATAACATTAAGGAAAAAAAAAAATGCATAAAGCATTAAATTTTTTATTGTCCCAAATACCTTTAAAGTAACGATGTTTCGCCTTCAGACAATACATGATTCCGGATAGGTCAGTGTCACCATTAAGTATTGAATTCAGAAGAGGGAGACCTTAAAATCATCACACAGCATAAATTCAAAATGTATTTATGGTAAACATACCATCTTTATTAAGAAGGAGATTTGGCAGGAGGACGAGGAACATTACGCCTATCGCCACCTCTACCTCCACGTTGTGAATTCATCCCGTTGTGTGTATTGTGTGGAGCTTGACCATAATTACGTTGATGGTTGTCATAGCTCTGCCGATTGCTGCGATATCGGTTATTATCGTCCTTGCGCCGCTCTTGTCGTTCTTCAACTACAACAGTTTCATTTCCAAAACCTGGAACAGAAATCTGTCTTTGCTGGAGTGCTCGTTGATAAGCATCTTGGGATTGGAATTCCACAAAAGCACATGACTTGATCCAACAATCCAAATGGATAATTAGAATAGTAATAATTAAAAAGAGATCGATATAAGAGTTTTGTGAAAGATACGTACCTTAGCGGGTACAACATCAAGATTTTTTTACAGGCCCGAAGTTACTAAACGCATTCCATAGTGCCTCATGATCCATTCGCTCATTACCAACTTTAACATAAAGGGAAAACTCTATAA